AACTCGCTACAATAGATTAAACTCTGCTATATCATGCAACTTGTTGTGCAATTTTTGTTGTGTTATGTTATGCTGATAGTTTCTGTTATTTTCAGCTATCTCTGTCTACAGTCTACATAGGTATAGATAGATATAGATCTATGTACAATACAAACCGTAAATGGGGTTTTGATGTTTTATACAGTCACAAATACCTGAACGTGTGTGTATGCATTTTCTCTTATTCGCGAAAGAAAGACAGAGAGAGAGAGAGAGAGAGAGGAGAGAGAGAGGGAGAGAGAGAGAGAGAGAGAGAGAGAGAGAGAGAGAGGAGAGAGAGAGAGAGAGACAGCAGACAGACAGACAGACAGACAGACAGACGACAGACAGACAGACAGACAGAGACGACAGACAGACAGACAGACATACAGAGACAGAGAGACAGAGACAGAGAGACAGACAGAGAGAACAGAGAGAGAGAGAGAGAGAGAGAGAGAGAGAGAGAGAGAGAGAGAGAGAGAGGAGAGAGAGAGAGAGAGAGAAGAGAGAGAGAGAGAGAGAGAGAGAGAGAGAGAGAGAGAGAGAGAGAGAGAGAGAGAGAGCGAGAGAGAGCGAGAGAGAGCGAGAGAGAGCGAGAGAGAGCGAGAGAGAGCGAGAGAGAGCGAGAGAGAGCGAGAGAGAGCGAGAGAGAGCGAGAGAGAGCGAGAGAGAGCGAGAGAGAGCGAGAGAGCGGGAGAGGGAGAGGGAGAGGGAGAGGGAGCGGGATGCACATACGTACAGACATAAATACCTACATACATATATGAATACACCGATAATACATTTAATACATGTGTATATACAAGCACACTCATAATATTGACACACTCATGTTTGCTGCCTTGGGGGCTGTATCTGTTGCTAGAGGTTGTCACCATCATATCCCGCAGGTCGAACAGCTCCGCTGCGATGTTTAGGTGTGCCGGAGTTTCTGTGCCTTCGAGGATGCTTCGAACATCTCCGAATGCTAGTTTCAGCATTCGAAATCCAAAACCAACACCGTAAACCCCTCCCATGAGTCCTCCTGCCGTTCCTGCTGATCCTCCTCCTGCTGCTCCCTGTGCTCCAGAGCCTGGCAGTGACGGTCTCTACCACAGCTCAACGGAATCAAAAAGAAGGCGCTTATGATTCGAATTTCAATTCATGTTGTAGCAGAATGAACATGTAGGAGCTGCACAGGGATGCTAGTACTACTTGCTCAGTCTTCCTTACGACGCCCCAAACCTTCAATCCTAAAACAGGCACCCTTATATCGCATGGGTTCTTCAGAACGTCGACCCTTTGAGCCCAGAGCAATCGCTCCCCATCGGCCTGCATGGTGTCGCTGATGGCTCTGCTGTAGTGGCGCACCGCCTGCCACATGGGAGCGCTTCCAGGTGCCCTGAAAGGAACCCTTACACGTTGCTCTTAAGAACTAGGGGTACGTTAGGGTTTATGGTTTGGGGCTACCTAGAGGATCACAGGACTTAATTAGTAAGTAGGGTTAGAAGTAGGGTAACTCTAGTTATATCTACTTATAACCCCAATTAGGGTACTTATAATAACCCTAGTTGCTAAGTCCCATGATCCTCCAAGTAGGATCCTGTCAGGTTCTACAGTACGGTCGACTTTCATCTGAAATCTAAAACTCCCTGATCAGGATGAAGAGCGCACACCCTCGCGGACTGAATCCCAATGGCTTACGGTTTGGAGGGTTTCGGCAAACCCAGAACCCTAAAGCCTGAACCCTTAACCCTGAACCCAAAACCCAATGCCCTGAATCCTGAACCCTAAACGGTAAACCAACGGTTTAGGGCTCAGTGATTCATCAAGCGCCGAAGTCGCTCTCTTCAAAACTTTGAGGAAGTTACTACGCAGGCAATTCTCTAAATTAGGGTCCATTTTTGGCCCCAAGAATGGTACGCCACCTTTTTAGAAAGGACCCTAAAAGGGACCCTAATTTAGAGAACTACCCATAACATTTTTTTCAGTGCAGTGCAGCCAGACAGCACAGACCCAGAAGCCGCGAATGACCGTCTGGCCCGACCCGATGATACCCGGGATGCGTTTTATAGAAGGTGTGTAGGGTTTGGCTGCGCAATTTTGGCGGGTTTCGGGCTGGTTTTGAGCGAGTTTTTGTTTGCTCCTGCCCGGCCCTGCCTTGCCCAGCCTTGCCGTGCGACGCCCTGCCCTGCCCGGCCCTGCCTTGCCCTGCTGGGTTGGGCTGTCATGCCTTTCCTTGCGAACTGAATTGCCTGCCTTCATCGTTCTGCCAGCAAATATCGCAACGTCTTGTGCCACCCATTCACCTGGAGGCTTTAGGGTTTAGGGTTCCCCAAGCGTTGAAATCCAGAAAATCCTGAGCTCGGAATGGCCTCAAACCAGCTGGAAAAAAAAAACAAACCACCAATGAACCAGTGGACTAAACCCCTAAACCATGAAACTCTGCACCCCTAGAATCCTAAAACCCTCACCCCAAAACCCCACAAGCCCTAAACCGATTTGGGGGTCCATTAAAATTCAAGTATCTGGACGATAAGGAGACATGACTACTGTTGTTCCAACCCCACCTTTCACCCTAAACCCTAAACCCTAAAGCCTTAAACCTTAAACATTAAGCACGAAATCCTCAACCCTGAACCCTGAACCCGCACAAAAAAAAGCACCTCGTGGAAGTTTCCAAGGCCCCGGAGCCTCGCTCACCAGGGAAAAAAGAAAGGACCACGTTCACGGGGCCCCAAAATGGGCGTATGCATAAGCATGCTGCTACTTGGAGGATCATGGGACGTAGTAACTAGGGTTATAAGTACCCTAATTGGGGTTACAAGTAGATACAACTAGAGTTACCTTACTTCTAACCCTACTTACTAAGTCCTATGATCCTCTAAGGACGTAAGATATCCCTACCCTGCTGGGCTTCGGTGTTGGGTGTTGGGGGTTAGATTTAGGATTCGAATCTGTTAGGGTTAGGGTTTGGGTTTGGTTTTTGGGTTTAGGGCACGGTTTAGGGTTTAGGGTAGCTGGGTAGCTTCGAGGGTTCCAAGGCTTCAGGGCTTCAGCAGATGCAGTGATCGAAGATCGGAGCGCAGACGTCCAGGTTGGAGGCTTCAGGGTAGTCGCACTGGGCTTAGAAGCCCCCTGTTCCCAGATATCCCAATACCCCGTGTACCTTAAACCATAATATCAAGCCCCCCCTAAGGTATATTCCTTAATTAAGGGTTTTGGATTCCCTGGGTTCCCAAGACCTGATGACCAAGCCTCAAACCGGCCGGAGACTCGCAAACCCAGAAATCCAACTCTCTCGAACTGGCATTGAAAGAAGGCGCGTTTAGAATATGAAGGCTGCGCAACAAGCTAGGCTAAGACTTAGAATTTAGCGGCATCCTCACGGCTTTTTCCAACGACCACATGGAATTAACCACGAATTTCGCCACAAAGGCTTTAAGTAGATTCAACCATATGAAGGTAGAGCCGCATTGGGGACCCTAGCCCTAAACCGCAAGCCCTGACCCCAACGTCTCGATTTCGGGCTGCTTCGGTTTAGGGTTTAGGGTTTAAGGTTTCAGGAGCAAAGCGGCAAAGGGATGCCCGAATCCAAACCCCCAGAACCCCGCAAATCAACAGATGTCTCAAGAACAGACATACACACATACACATACCCATACACATACACACACATACCCATACACATATACACATACACAGACACAAACACGGACACATGCACAGGTACATGCACATACACATTCAAGTTCAAATTCACATACACACACACACACACATGTACGTACATATGCACATACACATACACATACACATGCGTACACGTGCGGATACACATCCACAGACACATACACATGCGCGTACAGGTGCGGGTACGGCTACATACGTATACAAATACACATACACAAACACCTACACGTATAGGTACAGGTATACATGTACATGTACGTAAAGGTATGTATATCCATCTTTCTTTCTGTCTAGCTATCTACCCCAGAAACTGTGCCACGTCCTCCTGTTATCCCACCAGGGCATCGACGCATCTGCCAATCCACGGCGGGCCACCAGGTGCACAGGCCTGGGATGGGCGCGATGTAGCTTGAAGGATTTAGGTGGCTATAGGCCTGCAAATTCTAAACCCCATTCGGTGGCCGAGGCGTGCAGCGTTGACGCTGGACCCGAAGCCCTGAGTGCGTATCACCAATCTATCTATCTGTCGATCGATCTATCTCTCTATCTGTTTTGCTACCTCAACCCCAAACCCTGTACCTGTCGCTTACATCAAGCTCCTTAACAACAAAATTGAACCATAAACCTTAAACCTACCTGCTTACATTGAACCATAAACCCTAAACCTGCTTGCTTACATCAAACGCCTTGACAAAGATCCTAAACCTCTAAACCCTGAATTCCAAGAACCGAAGCCCGAAGCCCAAACCCCAACCCTCAACACATTGAGATAGTGCAGCTCGAGGACGAACTTGCATATCTTAAGCCTTAAACCGTAATCAACGACGAGCAAAACATGCCTGGCTTGGTTGTAGAGACGTGAGGAACTGGCAGAGTGGAAACAGAGCTGTCCTCTTTCAACTCGAAACTTTGGGGAACACGCGGTTTAGGGGTTTAAGGTTTAGGGTTGGGGGTCGCAGACTCGACCTCAAACGGAGATGGGTAAACACCTTGGCAACAGAAGACTGTGAAAAGTGGATCCGCTCCTATACCATCCTTGAAACCAACATGCCCCCCAATGCATAGCCTACTTTGAAAGGACATTCATCTGTACTGGGACAGCTGCAAGCATGACGATCCAGAATTCTGTCTTTTGGATTATGGGTTTAAGGTTTAGGCTTAAAAGTTTAAGATTTAGGGCTGAGGTGTCCAACTTAGGGGCCTTAGCAACCAGACGAGGGTTTTGGGGTAGATTAGGTATTTAACTGAATTCAGACCCTCAGATGACACTTACACCTTCAACCCCCAATGGCTTTTGCTGCTGCACTTGCTTATCGTCGACTCGGTTTCTTGAGGCATCTCGCCTTGACTTTGGCCACGGACTTTGCCTTGGGCTTCGCCTTGGCCTTCGTTTTGGGCTTTGCTTTGCCTTTCGGCCAGGATCCCGCCTTCGGCTTTGCTTTGGGCTTTGCCGCTTTGACGCGATCTGCCAAGGCGGCCGAAAGCTTGTCCTCTTCTGGAGATCTCCCCAGCTGTGTGGAGATGTGTCGGCTGTCCCCACCGGCTTTGGCATTTCCCCATGTCACAACCGATCCGTCAACGCGGATCGCAGCAAAAGCACCCACGGTAGCTTGAATGCACTTGACGTTCTTGAGCTGGGCTTGCACGGCACTGGAGTCTCCTCCCATCGACTTATTACCCCATGTGACAACCGACCCATCATCTCGAATAGCAGCAAATGCCCCGTACGAGGACTGTATTGCCTTGACGTTGCTGAGACGGTGCTGAACATTGCGGCTGCTCCCTCCCTTGCCCTTATGACCCCATGTCACGACCGACCCATCACCGCGGATTGCTGCGAAGGCGCTTTCGGTGCTTTGAATCTGAACTACATCCCTCAGCTGATTCCGGACGGAGGGCTTCGGTCGGAGGCGAATGTCACCGAAGGTCACCACCGTCCCGTCTTTCCGGAGAGCTGCGAAAGCGTGACTAAGACAACGTTGAACGTGCTCAACATCTTGAAGCTTCTCTGCGTTTTGTCCTGGTCCAAATTCCACATGCAGACGTCCTTCTCGGCTCACAGTAGCCCATGCATTCACTGCCATTTGTGCGGCACACTGTCGGAAGTCAGCATCGGAATGCGTAGAGGTTCGCGTACACACACCCCAGGATACCACGCTGTCGCTCTTCACGGCAAGGAACCCGAAATCAAATCCCTGAATGCAAAGGACATCCTGAAGAAAATTCGGCGGTGGAGGGTCGTATTCCTTAGCTGTCAAATGCATCGGCCAAACAATTTTTCATGTTCGGTTTTGAAAGGGTCAAAACAAAACATAAAGTTTACACCTTGAGCTGCCAAGTATCAGCACCTGCACCCCAGGTCACCACACTTCCTGAGTTACCATGAGCAGCTACCGTCTTCTTGGGCAAGCAGAGAGAACGAGCGAGACAGAGAGAAGGATGGATGCATGGCCGGGTGCGCAGCTGGCTGGAGGGCGGCTGCCTGCCTCTGACTGGCTGGCGTGGATGGGTGGATGCGCGGATGGTGATTGGGTGGAGGGGTGTACACACACATTTGTGTATGAGGGGCACGCACATGTATACATGTATGTACGTATGTATGTATGTCTGTGGTGTACGTAGGTATGTATGTGCATGCTTGCGCACTACGCCCAAGGTCGGTCCCACTCTTTTTCACTGCGCAGCCCGCTGGTGAGCTTTGGTTCGCCGAAGAGTTTCGGCAGCAGAACTAAGAGGCTCGGCAATGACGACAAAAAGGAGGATCGTGTAACCGAAGAAGAAGAGCTTCGCCGAAGACGTAGAAGCCGAAGAAGAGCTACCACGAAGTCGTAGAAGAAGAACTCCGGTGCCTCAAAAGTCGTCACCTCGTAGCCGAGAGAGTTCGCCTCCAGCCCCGAAGAGAAGGAAACAGCCAAGGGCGGGCGGGAGGGCCCAGAAGCTGCGACCAGGCTTCGATAGCAAACATGTTGTGGGCATGTTTGCGCACTACGCCCAAGGTCGGTCCCACTCTTTTTCACTGCGCAGCCCGCTGGTGAGCTTTGGTTCGCCGAAGAGTTTCGGCAGCAGAACTAAGAGGCTCGGCAATGACGACAAAAAGGAGGATCGTGTAACCGAAGAAGAAGAGCTTCGCCGAAGACGTAGAAGCCGAAGAAGAGCTACCACGAAGTCGTAGAAGAAGAACTCCGGTGCCTCAAAAGTCGTCACCTCGTAGCCGAGAGAGTTCGCCTCCACCACTTGTAAGCAGGCCACTTCGAGGTACGAGAAGGTGCTCGCCGTGCAGACATGCACCTAGGCCATGGACAGGTCCTCGGCAGTGATCACAAAGAAAGAAGGAAAAGAGGAAGGCATTACTGAAGATCTAGATCTCGTGGGCAAATGCCCAAGAACGTGTTCAGCCGCCATTTCTTGAAGGTAGTGCTGGAGCGTGGCTATGTGCTTGATCCGCATTTTCCAAAGGAGATCGTGCACCGGAACCCCGGATTGGTATGCGAAGACTGCGCCACCTCCTCGTACACTCCCGGGAGTGAGCTGAACCGACTTGGGCACTTGCAATGCTTCTAGAATCTGATCCCAACGTCGCCTGAAGCTTTGAGCTGAAAGCGGAAAAAGAGGCTCCGAAGCACGAGCCTTTCCAAACAGCGCCTCGCAGGCAGAGACCAATCCCGAATGGAGAATAGAAACATGCTGCTGTTTGCCGCCTCCTCGCCTGGCCGTCTTAGGCTGAGTAACTCGGACGAACATTCTATCCACTTTGTCAGACAAAAGATCGGATGGCAAAACTAGACAGTCCCTCGTCGCATGAATCACTTCCCCAATGCGTAGAATCCCATGGAAAGCTATCAACAAGACGACCGCGAATCGCGGCCACTGCCAACTGAACGCGACAGCCGCCATTGCTTCGCATAGTTTTTCTGGGAGTGGCACTCTGTGAACGAGCGGCTCGACAATCTCCCACTTGGTCACATATTCCCAGCAAATCTTGGAATGGAGACGAAAATCTGGGTAAGTACGCTGAGCAAACGTAATCAAATGTCTGAATGAACTAAGCGGAGCCCCAACGGAAAAGAGAAACTCGCCGTACGACTTCAAGAGAACAGCTACAGTGACAGAAGCCTCAAGAAGAGAGGCAGTGGCTTCAGGGCTGCAGCCGTCGGCCACCCACTCACTGAAACCTTCCCAAAGCCGTCTTTCTAACTTCTCAGTGGTGGCGCCGACAAGCGGCACTCCAGACAATGTGATTCCAGCTCTGTTTGCCGCACGCTCTGCTGCAGAGAGCCTTTTAGGCATTCCTAGAAACGGCGCACTTTTCGGCCTCGATCTCCCGGAAATCCACCCTATCTCCGCTAGCACCTGCCAATCCCATGGCAAGGACGAGACAAACTCTGGCAGGATACGGCTCGGCAACTTTTGTCCAGCTCAATCTATGCAGCCATGATCTTCCTCTTAACACTTGATGCTTCCGGCACCCTGGGCAGAGAGTACGTTGCCCGGCTAACGAGGTATTTGTTAAGATCTTTGTTCGTTTGCGCCACGGAGCTCCGAATGCACAAAAGTCAAGAGTCCAAAAGCCAACGCTGTGCTCTGAAATGAGGTGCTTAAGCGAAGCAATAGACCAGAGAAAAGAAGTCGCCGGATTTTCGAACCAGAAAGGAAGATTGAGACCGACACAGATTTGCCCTAAGTTGGCAATGAAACTGGCAGCTTGATTTCCCTGATCGACTTTTGCTTGCTGTGATTCTGTGAGCCCTGGAACTCCTTCCGGGAGAGCCGCAGTCCTCCAAGCCGGGAAAATAGCCCTAGACATAGAAGAACAGAAAGGGGCAGCTCCAACACCGAGGATAGCTCCTGACCGCAACAAGGCAAAGATCTCGTCTTGAATCGAAGCATCAAGCAGGTTCTGGCCGGCCTGGTGTACGACGTCATAAGACAAAACCCATCGGCCTGTGAGCCTGGCTAGCTCGCGACAAACGCCGCACTGACCTGAAAACAGATCTAAGTACCCAGGCGACTCGCTCACGTCGGCCAGAATGCTTCCTTGCGGACAGATGAAGGTTCCCCGCGCTGTCGAGAGCAAGAGACTCCAGGGTTTGTTGCAGGATGTATTTGTCAGGGTTTTTAAGGAGCAATCTTTCTTGGCCTCCCGCACGCCAGTGATGTGGTGGAGATAACGATCTCCGAATCTTTCATGTACAGCTCGAGCCTCGGCTTTCAGGAGCAACGAGAGAGCGGGAAGCTCGGAGAGGCAGTAGGGATCAGCGCCTTCATGAACGAGCCACTTGTCCAGCTCTGCATACTCACCGCGCCGAGCCGATGCCATCCACAAGGGTTCGGCTTCAACTGGGTCGGGAACTTGACGGCCTCGAGTAGGGGCGTCGGCGGGGTTGATAGAAGTCGGACAGTAAAGTGAGAAGGAGTAGAGGCCGCCACCGATCACGTGTGGAACTGACTTCTGCAACTCCTGGTTCAAGGCGGGGCTGGCTGATCTTCCTTTCAACACAGCGCCTAAAGTGACTTGGCTGTCGCCTCCAATACAACTTCGAGTGGCTCGCCCAGGGATCTTGCTAATCCTCTCGGCTTTCAAATACGACCGCAGCTCACCAATGTTAATGTGGCGCCTTCGGGGTGCCTTTCTGGACCAATCAAGTTTAAACTGGCAGACCTTGGCGAGTTTTACCCAAAGCGGATGTGCACGATAGCAAGCTTCAGCTCCTCCGGGCACCTCGTCAATCGGGCTCAAGTAGCCATGACTCCGTTCCCGAGCCAAGGCGGAGCTTGGTCCAGGTGCCTTTTCGAAGGGCATGCCGAGAAATCTCTTTCGCAAACCATGATCCTACGTTGCTGGAACAGACGGCCTCCCCCCAGTCTGAAGCATCCACCATGAAGACGTTCGGCGAATACTCAGACCTGAGCTCGACGACCGCGGTAGAGGCTAGCCCTAGCACCAGAAGAAGTTCTTCACGGAGCTCGGGGCATATAACGAACGCCTCGTCCTGGGTTCGTCCCTGCATTTCGCGAAAAATGACATCCAGCAATGACATAAGCCTTCTTCTCAACACAAAGAGAGCTATGAGGCCTCCCGCCACAATCTCGAGCAGGCCACCGGTGACAGCTCCTATGCCAAGGATCGTTGCAATGATCTTACAAAGAGGCGCTGCACGTCTGAGGGATCCACGAATGAACCCACGATCACCTTCTATCAAGGCGCCCCACATTTCGGACCTGAGCGAATCGCGGACTGCCTTCTCTTCATGAGGGATCAGCTTGACACGTGTGTAGGCCGCCTGGGCTGCATCCGCAAGCTTTGCACCTTCCGTGGCCGACGTCGCGACCTCCAGCGGGGAGCGGGACTCGATCGAGTAGGAAACAAAGTCGTCGATAACAAGCCCACACCCTGTCTTAGCCCTGGGCGCCGGCAGCTTCATCCCGAGGAGGTTCCCCTCATTCACAATGCTGTTTTGAAGGCATAGTCCTAGGTGGCAAGTTTGTGCAAGCTCCACCGCTTGGGTATCACCCATTGCGAGACAAGCGAGCCCCACACATAAGCGATCATACTGGTACATGTGCTGCTGAAAGCATCCAAGGTGAGAGACCTCACCCGGGGTAACGGTACCAACCAAAACGTTGCGCCGGCATCTTTCTTCAGAGACCCGAAACAGATGGTAGAAGTCACGAATGTCGTTTGATGACATGTACAGGTTCTCTCCGGCCTCAAGGTGAAGCTGAGAGAGTACCTCCGACGAGCCCAACGTGTAGATAAATCGGCCTGGCGGAACTTCAAGAAGGTTATGCGGCCTGGAATCCAATATGAGCCTGTCATACTGAAGAGACTTCAAGACAGCGAAAACGCCTGAACCAAATCTTTCTCGAACTTGCCCCGGATGATAAAGCTTTATCCTGCGGCTTTGGTCGAGCAGATCAAACAACTTTATCTTCTCAGCCCTGCTGCAGTGAACTCGAACTCTGGGCAGTGTGCCCTCAAATGCCTCAGGCGCCAGGGATGTTGCAAGCGGGTGCTCAAAGATGCGAAGAGCAGTCGGATCAAGGAAGGGCCGAGGATCAAAGTCAGGGAAACCTCTGAAGGCAAGCCTGTCGGGCTCAACGGGTTTGAAGCTGCTAACCTTTGTTCCCCGCAAGCGGCCCAAAGTGCAAGCGTCACGGGCTTTAGGAGCAGAAGCCCCCAAAGGACTCTCTTCAACGAGCATCGCCAACTTAGAAAGGACCAGCTCTAGATCCTCAACCTTCCCAGCCGTTCGGCCCATCTCTTCAGGCCCCAAAACACCAAGCTCGAACCAGGCATCCAAGAAGCCCGAGAGCCTGGCCGCGACCTCCCGTTGGCCTTCCGAAAGTTCGCTGCAATCGACACAGGGAGCAGGGGCACGATCAGGGCGCCCAAGGTCCAGGTAGTTCAAAAGGATAACCTGGACGTTCACAGTCATCTGCTTCAAGCTCTCCGGGGAGGCCCTCCAAGGATCTCCGCGAAAAGCTAAAGGAAAAGGAAGAGGCATGGGCCAAACCACACGCCCCCTCGAAGAAGATTCGCCAGCACTCTTGCCGGACCGAGCTTTGCGCAGGAAACTTTTAGCAAAAGAACCCAACGAACCAGGGCACTGGAAAACTTTCCCCACCAAGTCACGAAAAATGCTCAGCGGGTCCACGGGCTTCGCGCACGAACCAGGAACATGCCGAACAGGAGGAGGCGAAGCTTCAGCAGGTCGGCCCGCCAGATTTCCGCCCCCTTCGTGGCAACGCTCTGGGTCGCTGAAAAGGCGAAGCTCAAAAGAGTGAGGATTGCGTTCAGGAAAAAGGCCGCCACAATCAGGGCCCCCACTGGCCTCTTCCTTCATACTCGCCATCACTTTGTAGGAGGCTGATCGGCACCACCATTGCCGCCTTTGCCTCCTTTTGGCTTCCCGCCCTTGGGCGGGTTCGGGGGATCGTCGCTGGTTCGAAGTCCTCGCCCTGCTCCTTTCTCGAGTTGGGCCAGTTTCCTCCGTGCTTCGTTGCATGCATCTCTCTCGCGAAGAGCACTGAGGAACACCTCCGACCACCGAGGGTCGTACAGCGAGCTGGTTTGGCTTTCGGAAGGAGTCGGGAGTGCGTGCTTCCCGAACTCCTGAAAAGGAGGTAGAGCCTCCAGCAGCGAGACCGAGCTCATGACCCAAGAGCCTCCGTCGATCGAGGATTGATCGGAGGCTGCTATCAGCAATGCTGCTTTTGCTCGTGCTTTTTCTGGGTTGCCGTTTATCAGCTCGTCGAGGATGCCTCCTACTTGCCAAGACCAGCGGACCTGAGTATGGTAGTTCTGAATCCTCGACCTCGCGCATAGCCAGGTCCTGGTGAGCGAACTTCCGGTAGCCAATCCCCCCAGGTCCTTGAGCATCTGAGCCTCGATCGATGAGTAGATGGCCTTCGGGTTCTCCTCCAGGGTCTTCTCGAGGAACCGCGGGGCGGCCGCCCTCTTCTTCCCAGCGCCGAGTCCTCCAGAGTCGGAACTGCTTGACAGACCGCCCTGATCGAGCACGGAGTCCAAATCCTGCTTCTTCCCCGCAGCTAAATTCCCGACAATCTTGGTGAGCTGGACTATCGCCAACTCCAGCGGAGAGCTCCCTGAGCCTCCCTGGTTGTCCGCCCCGTTGCCCAATTCGGCGAGGTCCAAGCCCCCGCCGCCGTCGAGGAGGTCCAGGTCGGGGTTCTCCTCGTCCAAGGCGATCTCGGCCTCCCCGGCACGGGTCTTTTTCGACTTCATAAGCCTGGCCATTTCCAGAAGGGCCCCATCCCCGATGCCACTTTCGCGGCTGCTACCGTTCCTTTGTCGAGCCCTTCCAATCCAACATCTCCGATTGCAGCCCCATTCGGCTTCACCTTGGGCTTCGCCTTCAAAACCCCCGGCCGCGGTGCGGCCTGCTCGCTCTTCCCAGCCAGGCCCCTGAGCATTTCCTTCATCTCGGCAAGGCCGGCCTCGACCTCCGACATGCGACGGAACATGCCCTCTCCACCTCCTCCAGACTCTGCCGTCGTGAATGCAAACTGATCGTCTGCTACCTTGACAAGAGCCTCCCCGAAGGGAAGGATGCCATCCCCGAAGGGGTGGTTTATCTCGGTCCCGGCCTGGTACGAGATCAAGCTCTCCTCCTGCATGCCCAGCACACCGACCCATAGTCGGACCGCTAGCTCCTCAGCAGGTTCAGTCAGGTCGGAGGGAAAGGCACCTACCACGTCGACGAGGACAGCCTTGCCGAGTGCCGCCTTACCAAGTTTTCTTTTCTGAACCTTCTTATGCCAAACCCCGGAAGGCACAGCCACAATGATCCTGCCCCCGAGCTCGGCAATGCCAATGATTGCTGAGACCTCACCCGTTTCGGAACAGGCAAGGGCTCCAATCTTATAGTCTGCGTTCGTCCTTCCGTTACGAAACAAGAGATTGCCCCGGACGTCTAAAGCAACCTCCTCGCCTTCACTGTTTTCGGAGCTCATGGCTCGATGTTGCTGGGCCAATCCAGTCCAGCAGCTTCGATGGCAATCTTACCCTCAAACTCCGAAGGGACTCCGATAAAAACAGAATCTCCCAAATCGTTCCCTTTCTCAACCAGGCGTTGGATGCCACGCCAGGATCTGAAGACACGTGCTGGGTTCCTGTACTCGCGGCCCTCTCGATCTTTAACCAGCAGATAGAGCCGGTTCTTCAGAGGGATCCGGGATCTCCCAGACTTGACTGTCACTCCCTCAAGGCCCTTGCGAAGGAAGAAGCCGATCTGCTTTGCAATCTCCCGTCGCTCGTCCAAATCTCTAACTGACTCAGCACCCGCCTTCCCGAGGATGGGTTCCGAGGAGGAAGGCGCCGAGGATGAAGAGGCCTGAGCCTCCGGGCTGGTCAGCGGCGCGGGGTCCTCAACCAAGATGAAGCGCTCGCCCTCGAGTTTTTCAACACGGGCCCGAAGAACCCGGACCTCGCCCCGAAGCAGCTCAATCTCCTGACGTAGGAAGTCGATCTCACTCATGCACCCGGTAGAGAGCCAACGGATGCTTTCCCCCGGTACTAGCCAGCCACCTCTGACAAGACCGTCTCCAAGCAACCCTCGCAGCGTAAAGCAAGTCGATGAAAGGCCCGAGGCAGATCCCGATCAAAATGCCCACAAGCAAGGATCGCAAATGAAAGTCAGGTTCCAGATCGAGGCAGATGGGGCACGGATCGGGGAAGCCTACGGGCGGAGCCTGGAGTCCCTGAGCTAGCAAGTTCAGCAGAAGACTGCTAAGCGATCCAGTGGCACCTGCAGTGACCACTGTAGACCTGTCCATGCGAGCCCAGAAGCTGCGACCAGGCTTCGATAGCAAACATGTTGTGGGCATGTGCATGCGCATGTGGATGTGGATGCGCGTGTGCATGTGCATGTGCATGCGCATGTGGATGTGGATGCGGATGTGGATGTGGATGTAGATGTGGGTGTGTATGTGTGCATGTATGCATGTCTATGTGCTTGTATATGTATATGTACATACACATATTTATCCACCTGTGCCTGCCTCTCCCTCTCTCTTGTTTTCCGTCTCTCTCTAACTCTCTCTCTCTCTCTCTCTCTCTCTCTCTCGGCCTCCCTCGCTCTTGCTCATACGTCTCAGACACGCAGGGAATGAACAAACACAAACGTATGCTCATTCTCGTCAGCCTAGGTTCCGTCGCCGCGGTGCGCCGCAAAGGTGTCTCTGTTCGCCTGAATTTTCTTGACATCGCGGAGCTGCTTACGGACGATGTCGGGCACTGCGCCACCGTGACGGGGGGAGCCCCAGGTTGCAACAGTGCCATCTGTGCGGATGGCCGCAAAAGCACCGCGCGTGGCCTGGATCTCTGCGACATTGTGCAGCTGGGTATGGACTGGGTAGGTCTCGCCTCCCGCTTCTCTCCGTTCTGTCCAACCCCATGTCACAACAGAACCATCTTCTCGAATCGCGGCGAACGCCCTGTCTGCGGCTTTGATGCATTTCACATTCTGCAGCTGCTCTTGAACTTCGCTGCAGTTGCCACCCTCCTGGGAAGCCCCCCACGCTACGACGGAGCCGTCTGCCCTGATCAATGCAAAAGCCCCTGTCGTCGCTGCAACAGCAGCATCGCGTACGATGGCTGTGACTGTCTGACCATCTGTAACGCCTGCCTGCTCCAGGGTAGCAGACCCCGCAAGCAAAGAGCCTGCAGCAGTGATGAGATGTCCAATGCTGACATTCAGCTGTTTCTGCGATTTTCGTCGCAGCACATCGACCGTTTCACCCTCGGACGCCGCTACGCAGGTCTGGTCACCACTCAACAGAGTCACCAATACTGTGATGGACATGGCCTGTACCGGTACCGAGCTGCTTTTGCGACTCTAAGTTCCAGCACTCCCAGTGTGAAAAGCAGCCTCACATAGCTTGTTTTTATCCACGATCATTATGACCTCAGCAATGTTTCAACGAGCTTTTGTATCTCTGCTCTATCCTTTTTTTGGGTATGGGGTGGGGAGATGTCAGCCAAAACAGCTTTCAATGAAACGAGCTCTACACATCCTGCCGCGCACCCCAGATGCTTCACCCCCCACGTGGCAGCGACGTGCCCTCTAGCTGCATGGCATTGAAAAACCCAGTCAAACCTCGTAATGCATCTTCGATACCTACTCTGGAATGATCACAGCCCAAAGACTCCGAAGGCAAACCGTCATAATAGAGACGTGGGCCTTAACAGCTAGATTAAGGCTTGGAGGTACATTCGAAATTCTACTATAACCATGATAAGGAACCCTAAGGAATACTATAGGTAATCGTTCCGACCCCTGTATTATACCGTTGATGATATAAATCCTGCATTACCCATAATAAGGAAAATACCATAATCCCCGTAGCCTAGGGTCGTTAAGGTAATGCAGGATTTATATCATCAACCGTGTAACCACAATATGGAACTTCAAAATAGCATTGGTAACTTTTGGGGTCGCTCTCGGCTTCCCTTTACTCAAACCAAGAACAGACTCAGAATAAGAAAAACGGTTAAGGGTTAAAGGGTTTAGGGTTTGGGAGAAGTCCTCCACACCCTTCAACGAAAACGCAGCGAAGTCACGCAGAATCTTTAGCAGGACAACCCTCTGAAACCTCACGAACCGACTGCAGACCTTAACGGTTTAGGGTTTAGGGTTTAGGGTTTAGGGTTTAGGGTTTAGGGTTAAGCCCTTCAAGCCCGGGCGTTTTCCAAAAACTCTGGACAGCTCAGGGGAGAGGTCTTGGTCGCCCGATCCGTTCCCCCAGGGTTTAACCCTAAAGCAGCGCTGGGCACCCGAAACCTAAAACCTCTAGGCGCGCCAAATATTCGCCCTGGAATGATTGTGGAAGCGTATCTGGCCATGAGCAGTTCCAGAAAACGGCTGATGAATCGTCTAGCATCCACTATCTTCTCCGCATCGTCGTCGTGGTTGTTGTTGTAACAAAATCAAGAGAGTCAGTAATAATATCTCCAGCAATAGCAGCTGGGCGCCCCAGCTCCTCCTGCAGCACCTGCCGGAAGTCTGCGCGAGCACGCTCGAAATCCTGGACCTGGGCCCAGGCTTCGGGAGCTTTTCCGTAGCTTGCCGACTTAGAGTTTAACATTTAGGTTTTAGGGTTCAGGGTTTGGCTCTGAATCCCAAACCCTCATTGGATCCTAGATCCTTCCCTTCCGTCGTTCACAGAGCTTGGCGCAGTCATGGTGTTTGTTGACTCTCTTTTTGTCGGCCTGCGATGACTGTTGCCAGATTTTGTGTATTTGGGTTCTGCTGCTGTGTTTCAGCGCGTTGTTCTTGTTGATTTGTAACGTTGCTAGTAGCTGATAGTAGTGTTGGCAGCATCATTGTTGCTACTGCGGTTTACAAGTCACCAACTGGTTATGATTCAAGTGTTGCGGCAATTGCTATGTCCGAACCGTTTCAGTGATGTTGCATCCTCGTCTTTGCCGTAACTGCATGAAAGTAATAACAGAAAATGAGGAACCCTCACAAAGATAGGAAATCATGGGGTCCTGGATATGAGGATCCGAAAGTAAGGTAACCCTGGGTCAAAGCAAAAACGCGTACCTGCTTCGTTTCGGCAGACCCTTGCTGCCCAACACCACATTAGAGAATCTTACCTTTGGTTAGTAGGGAATGGAGGAATGGGGTACAAGTATAACTACTATTACTACCATTCTTCCATTCCCTACTAACCAAAGGTAAGGAATGCACGGCCCTCTACAAAAGTCACGGCTCCGATGCACTTGGGCCGAGGATGGCGGGCTTGGACGATACATGCACGAGGATTCGGCAAGTACAACAATGATACTGTCGAGCGTTGGTGCCGCTGCATTGGCCTTGCTAAGAGCTCTCGGTATCGAAGACCTTTTGCACCCGAATGCCCAAGCCCTCAACCCCAAACCCTAGATAAACCCTAAACCCCAAAAACCCCAAACCCTAAAACCCCTAAACCCCAAACCCCAAACCCTAGATAAACCCTAAACCCTAAAAACCCCAAACGCTGAAAACCCTGAACTCTAAACCCTGAAAACCGTAGGACCCCCAAGAACCTGGCCGATACAGAACCCTTGTACAACCCCATGGCCAGCTCCAGGGTTTGGGGTTCGTTTTTAAAGTGCAACAGGGTTTAGGGTTTAGGGTCTCCACTGCAGTAGAGTCAAAAGCTTGCTCAGGTTAGAGCGTGCACTAGGTCACTTCTCACCCAGCTTCTTCACAGTGCCAGCCATCACAACTCCCCATCCCCATCTCGACTGCGACTCCTTTCACGACCATCACCACCAGCAAACGTATCCTCTTGCTCATGGGAGTGACTACAGTCAAGGTTGGCATCATAAGGATCACCACCAGAATCATTAGCACGTTGACGTTGAGTTGGATCATTTCCATGGGCAAATAAAGGAGCAGCAGCCAGGCGATGAGCATGTGCAGAAGGTAGCCCATGGGCAGTAGGTGGATCGTGTACAGGATGCCCTCACTAGCTCCATCAGTCGGCAAGGCAGCTCCCGACAGCTCGCGCGCATGCCGTACAGCAAGGAGGTCAGGGCGAAGGCGTGGAGGAGGTCGACGTGTATGCCCTCTGCGACGTCCAGGAACAGGATGAACACCAGCTTGAACATGAGGAACATGAGGTGGATTAACTCCAGCTGACCAGGCAGGCGTAGCTACAGCCTCGTCACGTTGAACACGTAGTAGACGACGATCATCTTCCGATGGCCAGTAGCCCACAGGAGTGGCTCATCCCTCATTGTTGTATATGTTGTGGACATGTGTTCTCCAGCCTCCTCGTGTGAAACCTGCAATTGAATGAGAGTGCTCATGGAGGCCGAAGGCCTGCTCCAGTTCAGATACAGATTCTGGCAGCGTGGGCTGCAGAAGCAAGGCCGGATCCATCGTTGACATGGAATGGAGGTGGGTTTAGGGTTTAGGGTACTATGAAATCTATAAAAGCGTTATAAACCCCTTTGGAACCCTTGCGACCCCAAACGCTAAACCCCCCTAAACCCCCCTAAACCCCAAACTCCTAAACGCAACCCCCAAAAGCCCCCGCAACCCCCCCGCTTCCCTTTCCGCTGCCTTCAGGGACAGCTCTCCCCGGGCCAACAGAGCTGGCCTGAATCCTGGAAAGATGCCTCGGAAGGGCTTTTGGGCTTCAGGGTTTTGGGTTTGGGTTTAAGCATGTGGGTGTAGGATTTAAGGGCTTAGGGTTTAGGGGATTCTCTAGTCTGACACTATCAAGGCGCCCTAAAGAATAGTCTTGGCAACTCTTCAGGCGGCTCAGGGTTGGGTGTCAGGGCTTGGGCTGGAGATTCCCAAAGAGCCCAATACCCCTTAATTCAGGAATATGGCTTAAATTACATAGGGCTTCCTCTTATGGTTTAAGTTTAAGCTATATGCCTTAATTAAGGGGTATTGGGCTCTCTGGGTTCTGAATTTCGAGTTTAGTTTCAGGGTTGAGGAGTTCAGGGTTTGGCATTCTTCGGCGTAGGGGAGTTTAGCGGAAGGGTCGGGTTTCGGGTGGCACTCCAAGTGGGACTAGGATTTTCGGGCTTTGCATCTTGGTGGGCTCAGGTGCAGAAGGGTTCAGAATGTCAAACGGACCTGTGGGTCTCACTGCTTTGTAGCCCTGGGTTTAGGGTTTAGGGTTTAGGGTTTAGTCTTCATGCTCAGCGTACAAAAAGGGCTCTTCATTCAGATGCTTCTGTATTTGCAGATTTGCTTCGTGCTCTGGATGAACCCCGCACCCCATGACGCTAAGGAAGCTTGCTGTGGGTCGGGCTCTTTGCGTCGTTTGTGGGATGAGTCATGTTGAGAAAAGTAAATAGGCTTGTTAAAAGCAGCTGCCATCCCAGGTCCCGCGCTCAGGCAGCGGTTCAGGTAGCGGATGGCGCCACCAAGGTCCCCCAGTCTCTTCAGGGACAACGACATGAGGACCTCAGTCAGCTGATTGAAGGCTTTTAGGACTTAGGACTCCAGGTTCAAAGCTGGCAGAAATCGAGTTTAGACTTTCGGGGCCTACGTCTTTTAGCGCTTTTTAAGGACTGAGGCTCGCAGACTTGGAGGCTCTCAACGTCGGGGTGATCAAGAATCATCCCTTACTGGGTGCTGTAGGACAAGTACCATATATATATATACATATATGTATATATATATATATACATATATATATATACATATATGTAATGGTGCTGGCAACATCTTTGCCATGTGATAGTGATGGTGGTTCTTACATCGTCTGCTAGGAACGCCTCGGAAGCCCTGGGTTTCTGCTGCAAGCCGAGCAAAGACACGGCGCCATGTTCAACAACAATTTGGGGTGACTGAATTCTACGATGCCTGTTTCCTCGCACGTCACGCATTCCTATTTCATAGTCTGTACATGTCTCGCACCCTTTGCCCGTTGGCTTCTGCTGGCCGTTCTGACTACGTGGGCATCTTCTGCACTGAGTCTGAGAGCTTGCAGCTTGCAAGAGCAAGCAAGTTGATCGTCAACAGAACAGGGGCAGAAGGGAAGCACCAACAACCGATAATGGGGAGTCAGTTTGCGGATCAATGCTATCTAGTGAAGGAACCATATTAGCTGCTGTTGATCCCTACTAGGGTATCAACACGTAAGTTTCTTGATGTGAACCTAGAATTTGACCCTGCCGGAATGTACCGGGGTTCCCGACATAGGCGTTCCGGTTGTAACCCGCATCCTGCAAGAGCGAAGTGTGATGCTTGTGTGTATGCATGCGTGCATGCATGCATGCATCCATCCATGCATGCACGTAGGTACACAGGCAGGCGGCAGGCAGGCAGGTAGGTCGGTGTGCATACGTATAGACAGTATACATGTACATACGTGTGTATCTCTGTCTGTATGCATGCATGCTTAGATGGACAGATGGACGGATGAATGGATGGATGGATGGATGGATGGACGGATGGCGGCTGGCTGGCTGGCTGTCTGGCTGGCTCGGGCGGCTGCAGGGGCGGATGGGTGATGGCACTGGTGGATCGGCGCATGGGCGGATGGGCGCGCGGGCGGATGGGTGGACGGCTGATGGGCGGATGAGCGGAAGAGTCCATGAGTGGATGGCTGGATGGGCGGATGGCCGCATGAGTCAATGAGTGTATGGGCGAATGGGCATGGCTGTATCGCTAAAATCAATTCCCTTATTCCAAGTCTTTTCGTTTTGAAAGGTTTTACACGCATTTCAAAAACAAAATATTATCGAAAATTAAGAAATATTTTGCAGCTAATAAAAACTCAACAAAAACAATAAGTAATCGATTCTGAAGCTCAAATTCCAAATGAATTAAAAGACCGCATACCAACTCTAAAATGAGTGGATGGGTGGATGGGTGGATGGATAAGCAGCAGATAGACGTCCACGTACAGGTGCGTGCCAACTAGTTCTACAAAGTCTTGATACGGCCATGTTGGTATGAGTATGCGTTGACTCAAACATACACTGAAGCGCGCGCTTACTCATTTATCGGTGAAACTCAAGGTGTGGCGAGTCCCACAAGAGCTCCCTGACTGACACAGCCGGACCCAACCCTGCAACAACCATCACAGCTCTAGATCCTCGGGCTTCAGGTAAGGTGGCTTCAGATTTTGCGCAGTGTAGTCTTTCGCTGGCTCTGGCTTTGAGAAACTAAGATCTTGCGGTTTCGAGTCTGTCTGGCTGCTTGGGGTCTTCGGTAATTCTTCGTGCGCACACCCGCCTTGAACCCCGAAACCCCTAAACCCTAAATCCCAGACCCGCAACCAAAGCCCTAAACTCTCAAACCCAGAAAACCGAAAGCCCTAAAACCCAGGTCTCGGTCCTTGTGGATGACTTCCGCAAAGTCACGCTGCGCCCGCTCCTCAAGTGTCCAACTGTCTTTGGTTTGGGTTAGGTTAGGGTTTGCGGCCTTGTGCGCAGGTGTTTAGGGCCTGTTGGGGTTTAGGGTGGCGCTTCGGGTTTTCTTGTGTTTTGAATTTCAGGTTTAATGCAAAACCTCCAACCCTAACGACTTGGCAAAGGACGCACAAGGAACATGCAATTTGAGGGCAGGATGAAGTGCTTTCCGGAATTGTTGGGATGCTGATCAAGTCTGACAACTCCAGCGGGGGCAACAATACTGATTTGGGCGCTTCAGGTCGTGATGACGAAGAGCAATCGATGGCTGGAGGGCTGGAAATGATGACTTCAAGGGCTTCGCAGTTAAGGACCAAGGGCTTAGGTCTTCAGCTTGTTCGGTGAATCATGAAATCATGAAGGCAATGAAAACTGCCATGCCCCAAGCCGCAAAACCTTCAACATCCCGTCGTCCTCTGCCCCAGAGGCTAGGTAGCAGTAGCCTCGTGATAAGAGGGCCTCTGCGAGCTTCAGAGTCTTGGGATTTGAAACTTTCGTTTTAGGATGTAGAGATGGCTGGTTCATGGTGAAACCCTGAGCCCTAATCCACTAACCCCAATAGTTGTAAATGCGACGCACGTCAGCACTAGGCCAAGCTCGGACATCCCCAAATGCCGAAAGTGTTTCCTAGCGCACAGGGATGCTCTCTGCCGAAACCCGTCTGCATGTATTGTAGGCGGTGTTCAGGGTCTAGAGTTTAGGGTCGTTTAGTCCTTGGCTGCCTTGGCTTTGCTGCTGGATGTATTGGATAGGGCTCGCATCCTGAAACTCTAGGTTCACGCACTCTGCACTCTAAACCCAAAGACCCTACAGCCCTGCATCGTGCGTCCGACATCGTCTGCAGCATCAGTGGCCGGGGTTATAACTCCGAAGGAGCCTCTTCAAGCCCTGCTGCTGGCCAGGGCCGAAGTTTCGAAATCGGTTCCGTCAGGGCAGGTAACTTACACGTAGCACCCGTGGCAGTCGCAGCAGACATGGCGGCAGCGGTGGTGAGGGGTAGAGATCGTCGTCAAAGACTTATGAACCAGCAGAAGCCTCAGTGGCAAAAGTCTTCTTGTCAGTTTTCGGAATATCGGCAAGCAAGATGCCAGCTCCCTTGCGGCTTATGGGCTTCGGCTTTGGCCTTGCTTCGGATTCTTTCATGCCAAACCCATGACGGCTTCCCACCCTTCCACGAAGTACCGGGGCAGAACTCTTTCTTCCTGCGCTCGCACTGCCCCGGGTTCCGAAACACCTGTCCGCTGGCAACACGTCGGAGTTCATCGAAGCAGGCGGAGTTTTAGGTCGACTTCTGCCCCAAAGCACCCAAGATCAACTCCTGCGCTTGGAAAGGCCAGCCGGGTCGGCGACTCCGGTGCGAAGTTTGAGATTAAAGCTCTCAGGCCCAAGCTGGGCATGGGCCCAAGGCCGTCGTCTACTTGCAGAAATCTCGCTTCAAATAAACAAATTGCCCACCACTTTGCGGTGCAGGGCCATCGGAACTGTGGAAGCCCGCCTCACCTCTACACTTTACAGTGCAGGCCAAACGCCACGAAACGAGCGCGCTGGGCTCTTAGCCGTAGCTGCGCCTTACTTCAGAAAAAGGCTTCAGAGTGCCTCTCGCGCTAGATGGCAAAAGATATCTGCGAAGCCTCCATCCTCAGCGCCGAGAGGGATAATATATATATATATATGGGCGCACCCCTATTTGGGGTCCCCTACGTTTTCGCTACATCATCTGACTGAGCTGTAACCACCAGACTAGGTTATAACCAGCCGATTAGGTTATAACCAGCCGACTAGGTTATAACCATTCGAATAATTTATAATCAGGTATACATTATCGATATTTCAGTTTTTTCCAACAAGCGTGCTGTAGTCATTAGTCTGGTTCAGTCATTCTTTATCGCGAACTAAATTTTGGAACGAAAAGTTTTCCATCTTTGTACTGTAATGCCGCAATCCCATCAAAGTCTCTGTTGTTGGGCGCATTGCTATGACGTTTTGGCAAACTGATAGCTTTCAATGACATATCCCTGTGCCCCTATGTGATTGCTTGTAGACACTGGTATATCCGGTAGGTATATTTGAGTGGTGCATTCCTTATTTCTGTATGACGGCTGCCCCAAGCCAAAATTGAAAACTTGCACACTACAAGCTTGGCAAACTTTGTACAGTGTTTTTCCTGGGGGACGACATGAAGCGTCGCTTCTTAGGCTTGGCACTGTTTCTATATGCTCAGTGATGAGGCCTGTGCTTTTTGTATCAGCATACCTTAACCATCACGTAAAGCTCACTGAAAACCATAAAGCTACATCTAGCTTGTCCGAATTTCTGTTTGTGTTCTTGTGAATATTTTCTGAAGGTCGAACAGAAGCCATTGTTCCCAATCCAGAACGTGCTCCTCGTTTTAGAAAAAGTGGTAAACACACACCGAATCACTCCTCGAAAGAGGTACATCCATGTAGTTGGAAATAGCATTGCAAGGAATTTTCTACGTACCGAGCGAGGAAACCTAACAGTTTGCAAGTTGCAAATCGCTCACCACACATATTCTTATCAGTTTTGTCTCATCGAAATCCTGCTTCCTTGGAACGATGTTTGAACATAACGTTGCAACCAGTTCGCCTATGTACGAAGTGATGAAACCTGACCACGCTGTAAGCTTTGATATACTATCTCTCCCTACAATGACGTCGTATCAGTCGTATCTCAACTTTTTTGTGTACCGTGATATTCCAATGTTGACAACACTTACTGACCTACTGTAATCCCGATAGAGACCCTTCATCTTCCGCATTTTGATTCCTGGGTCATTGACATGTTAGCGGCTATTCTCTCAATGTGTACATAGATCTCATAAGCCCGATGTACTGGAACGGACAGACCATTATGTAAAGTCCGCCATATAGCCTTTCCGCTAAAGTTGGGGAATGCGCATATGGCCCCCGGAATTATGTTTGTTACAAAGCACTGCATCATGCCTCAACAACCGAATACATGCCAATTACCTCGGACCTTCTTCTAGTCCTTGTTTAGTTTCATTACGGTTACATTTCCCCTGAAACACCGAAACTTTCGAACGTTTGGATCTAGGTCTAGGTGTTGATGAAGTAGCGGTGGCACAGATTTGCTTCGTAAGGTTTATATTGTGCAACAAACAATCAAGGCACCCCAATTTACAAACCACAACCCTGGTATGTAAGCCCCCCGGTGTTTCGACACAGTTTACCAATATTGCAGGTTCACCATCAAGTGTTGGGTTTGGGTTTTACTGCTTAGGGTTTGGCGCTAGGGTTTGGGGGAGACTTAGACTTAAACCATTATACCGGCTCGCTTGCGCGATACGACACGGAAGACTTAAACCATCAAACCAATAAGCCAATCCATTTGATCTATAGGGCACGGCGGGAGTCTTCAAAACTTGAACGTATTTTGCAGCCTGGTTATAACCTCTGTCCCCGGTTATAACCAGGACACCTGCGTAGTAGGCAGCCCTAGGCCCATCACTAAACCATTAAACCATTATCCTTTCCCCCAATGGAACCAAACCAATAAACCATTAAACCAATCCTTTTGCCCCATAGCACTAAACCATTAAACCAATCCCTTTACCCCATACCACCAAACCACTAAACCATTTAAACCATTAAACCAATCCTTTCCCCCAATGCACCTAAAACACTAAACCGTTAAACCATTAAACCAATCCCTTTACTTCATACCACTAAACCACTAAACCATTAAACCATTAAACCATTAAACCAATCCGTTTGCTCCATACCACTAGACCACTAAACCACTAAACCATTAAACCATTAAACCATTAAACCATTAAACCAATGCTTTCGGCCCATACAGGGATGTGTCTCTCTCTATAGGGGAAATGATTGGTTTAATGGTTTAATGGTTTAATGGTTTAGGTCCATTGGGGGAAATGATTGGTTTAATGGTTTATTGGTTTAATGGTTTAGGTCCATTGGGGGAAATGATTGGTTTAATGGTTTAATGGTTTATTGGTTTGGGTCCATTGGGGGAAAGGATTGGTTTAATGGTTTAATGGTTTATTGGTTTAGTGGTATGGAGCAAAAGGAATGGTTTAATGGTTTAATGGTTTAGTGGTTTGGGTGTGCCAAAACCCAGGGGACCCCATATAGGGGGGTACCCATATATATATATATATATATATATATATATATATAGATATAGATATAGATATATATATATATATATAGAGATATATACGGGCCTTAATCGCTAGAATAAGGTTTGAGGGGATATTTCGGTCAACTTTGGATATTTTCACAAGAAGCCCGAAGGACGACTGTTGGTGATCATGTGGGCTTCTAAAATGCCTTGTTACACGGTTTGGGGGTCTTTGTGGTGGCTTCCTAGATCCCGAGTGCCAGAGGCCTTCACAGGGTTTGTGCCTAAACCCCACACCCGAAATCAGGTGGGGTGCATGGACGAAACGGAAAGTCTCTGCCGATTCTGCGGCCTGGCAGCATGCTCACCAGATAGCGAATCTTCAAACTCATCCCAATTACCTCAGCTGCAGCACATGGACGGGCTCAGGGTCTTTTGTAGTGTAATGACGGAAACGCGGATGTTGAACCAGTTTCCTCGGCCCCGAAATCAACCAAGGACTCGAAACCCTACGTCCGAAACTCGCAAATAAAAAGTCCTCAAGCCTACAAATTCTCCAAATTCTCCGAACCCTTCAACTCCATGACCAGAGAGACGACACTGAAATTCCACCCCGAAGGTCCTCGAAAATCTGCTTGGCTGCATCACCCTTTGTGACGGGCCCGCGGAGGCTCATGAGACCAGTGACCAGCCTCAGGCACGGCACAAGGAATCACAAGAAATGGTGCATGAGAAGCCGAGAGCAGAGATGATGATGATGATGATGATGATGAAGTGGTGATGATGATCATCATGATGATGATGGTCATGCCAGAATATCTAGAATCTAGCCTCAGAGTTGGAGATGCAAGGTGGCGTGGTTGGGGGTTTGGGGTTCGATCCTTGGGTCCACTGCTTGCGCCATACACTCCAATCACGGAGATGTCAGCGAGAAAAAGAGCTTTGACAGATGGCACCATGGTGACTGCTACCACTCGCTATATGTTCCAATTCAGTGCGACTGGAGCCTCAATATCTGTGCTGTTCTACTACCGCGATGATGACCAAGCTTGCGCTACCACTCCAACAGCAACTGCTGCTGGTAGCTGCGCCTGCTGCTGCCACTGCACTGCTCCTACGGAAACGACAACGACGACGACTACTGCGTTTCTTCTTCTTGCGTAGAAGGGGAAAATGCTGGCCCTTGGCCCAAGCAGCACTGAAAGCTGAAGCCAAGCAGCTCGCGCACACTTAGCTCTCCTCCCGCATCTGCATCGAGCACATCAAACAATCCTACCTGGGCCGAAACGTCGATGCTGGCCTGCAACGGCGACAGCGACAAGATGGCAGCATTGCAGGCCTAGCCTTTCGAACACTGAGTGTATTGTCGTGCCGACTAAAGTGGGTTCATTGGCGAAGAACTACCTCGCAAAATAAGCACAAAACGCTCTCAGAACCGTATCAACGCAACTTACCACTATTACTATTTCGAGTAACTGCCTTAATCATGCCGATTATATCATGACTTACTAGTAATGTCTGACTATCAAGATCAATGACACTGGTATTGTGACTAGTATTGCGACCGGTACTCCTGAGTAACACTGCGTGTAGTACTTTCATTAGTACGATTACTATTGCCACGGTTATAACAAACAAGGACCCTCCAGTGTGACAAGTGACAACATATCATTCTTACTAGGATTCAAAAGTAATACTGCTTTTTTGTTACTAGCACGAGTGCTATCCCTACTATTCATATCAATGATATCACCAGATTTGTGTTACTATGATTGCTTCTATGATACTGGCCACTGAGATTACGATTACTATTGCTGTTACTGGTACTACTACTGTTTAATATTACTAACACTACCACTGCCGTTACCATTACCATTGCACTTGCCAATGTTTTTTCTAGTACTACTAATACTGTGAGTATGTGCATGTGACTCTACTTTTTCTATTACTTTTACTAGTACTGTTACTATTACTATTATTGGTACGATTATCATGTTTATTATTACTGTGATTACGAGTCTTGTCATTACTGTTCTTACCACTTACACGCCTAGTACGACTATTGTGTCCAGTATCATTTCCAGTTTGTTACGAATATAGTTGCTAGTATTGTTGCTGGCATTACTGTATTACCGCTACCACTACCACTACCACTACTACTGCTGCTGCTGCTGCTGCTGCTGCTACCACTACCACTACCACTACCACTACCACTACCACTACCACTACCACTACCACTACCACTACCACTACCACTACCACTACCACTACCACTACCACTACCACTACTACTACTACTACTACTACAACTACTACTACTACCACTACCACTACTACTGCTGATTTCAATGACTCCTACTTTTACCATGGATGTCGACGATACTGTTACTGTTGCAAGTGTCATGATTCTTGTTATTATGATTACTATTGTGCTTACTAGTGTTTGTTAGAGTAACTGTTAGAGGCCTCATCCAGCACGCGCACGAAATCTGGATCACGAAGCCACATGTCGAACTCATCCCTTGAGATGTTCCGACCACCGACCTTTCCAACATCGAGGAACTTCTCACAAAGAAGGTGTGGGGATGTTGTGGTGATATGCATCAATTTCTGCTGAGAGCATCAAAAAGTCGTCCTTGCAAGTCGTCAAACACTACCACACCGTACAGCCTGAGCTGTGCCAAGCGAGCTACATGAGCTAAGCGGCTTGCAAGACTTCGTCCAAACCTTCCGATCTTGTCTTGAGGTCAGGCGATAATCGGAAACTGCTCCTCTTCAAGCCCAACTTGCGAATGATTCTGTCCTGCATGGCAACGACGTCTGCGCCCACGTTCGCGACTGCGGTTAGAATTTAGGGTCCAGGGCCTAAACCCTAAACCCTAAAATCACGTATGTTCGTTGTGCTGATGCCACAATCAAGACTTTGCGCTGTGTGCCACACTGTCCGTCCTTGATCTTTGTTTCCATTCCCAAAGCAGTGTCGGCTATCTCAGTCTGCTTGCGAGCGAACTGGGAACTCATCACGTTCCTGAGTTTTCTGGAAGCTTGCCAACAAGCAGATGAGAAGAAGAATCCTGCATGCCGTGCACACCTGGAAAGATCCTGAACAACTGCCTGTGCCATAGCCCCAACTTTAAGCTGAACACCTAACGAATGTTTTCAGATGCTGTACAACAAGCGCGAACTATCAGTTCTTCTTGACATCTCACAGGCAATGACAGGGGTTGCAAAACCCCTCGGTAACAATCAAATGCAAACTCATTGGCAGGAAATGCCTAACAACAACGCAAGCGATGTTCTTTACAGCCGCTAAAACCTCAGTGCTTGCTTTCGCGTGGAGTACTATGGCACAGGTCAGACACAGTTTTAATACAACGTGGTTGCGAATCGCAAATTGCCCAATTCGGTCGAATGAACTGCGGCTGCAGGTATACAAGCTGGTGGCTGCACTACTACGCTTGGATCCTTGACCGAAACATACACTCCTTCAGCCTGGACACTACCGTCTGTGTCCTAAACTCAGAGCCATTAACACAATTTTCAGGATCGCTGTCGTAATCGTGGTTAGAAATACTGTCGACATCATGATTAACGTCGCCGTCGTCAGGACCACTCTATCATCATCGCGGCCAACAGTTGACGTCGTTACCTTTCAAATTGTCAGATTGAATGTGAGTATATTTTTGCTGCTGTCGCTGGTGGCATCATCGTATTCTTGTTAGCTCGTCGTCGTTGTCGGCGTAATAGTCGTAGGCGCAAAACAGGAGCAGCAGCAGGAGCAGTAATAGTAGCTAGTACTCGTCGTCGTCGCCATCCTCGTGGTAGTCGTCGTCGTAGTAGCAGTAGGAGAGGAGAAAGAATAGGAGGAGGAGGAGGAGGATGAGGAGGAGGAGGGGGGGTCGCAGAAATCATAGTTGCAGCATTATCAGCTGTATTCATGCTGATTTTGCTCCTGCGACCCTTGACTCTGAAGACGAAAGCAGTCTATCAATGCAGCACCAGCTTCTCGATAAAGACGGCCATTATTAAGTTGAACACCCCCACGGTCACCAACATGGTGACGAAGATGTAGCCGACCTCGAATGACAAGGTCTAAAGTTGCAGTCACTTGAAAGCCCGGCCCGGAGCTTACCTAGAGACTCCAATATCCCTTAATAAAGGAATATACCTTAAGTTACAATAGGATCCTTCATATTATTTAAGGAATATTCCTTACAGGCATATTGGAGATGCGATGGTGGATGATGGTACTCCTACGTGCCTTAGTCGTTGCATTTTGCGTTTTTGATGTTTCCCCCATCTGCACACACGCAACCACTGGGGTCGCTGCAAAGTCCTTGCATTTGCTGTTCCCACAAGAGCACACCCCCTCACACCGTCCCCCAAGAGTGAACAACTCATGTGAAAGTCCGCGTGCTGCCGTTCGTTTTTGCAGCCTTCTGCAAGTGCACACCCCCGCGGACAGGTGAAGAACTGACCCCGACATGCATGCACTTATACCTGCGCGCTGCGGTTCGTTGTTGTTTTTGCAACCTTTTGCAACCGCACACCTCCGGGGACAAGTGAAGAACGGATCCCGAGATGCATGCACGTATACCTGTGTGCTGCGGTTCGTTTTTGCAGCCTTCTGCAACTGCACACTTCCGGGGACAGGTGAAGAACGGACCCGACATGCATGCACTTATACCTGCGTGCTGCGGTTCGTTTTTGCAGCCTTCCGCAAGTGCACCCCTCCGGGGACAGGTGAAGAAGGGACCCTGACATGCACGCACTTATACCTGCATGCTGCGATTCGTTTTTGCAGCCTTCTGCAAGTGCTCACCTCCGGCGACAAGTGAAGAACGGATCCCGAGATGCATGCACTTATACCTGCCTGGCGCGGTTCGCTTATGCAGCCTTCTGCAAGTGCACACCTCCGGGAACAGGTGAAGAACGGATCCCGAGATGCATGTTTTTAGTTATGATGTTCTTTCGGGGGCCCAGGGCCTCCGTGCACTCCCAAACCCGCGTACCGAGCGTACATCTTCAAGGGGGCCCCGCGCGAACCCCAAGCCCACGTACTCCCACTAGGCTTGAGTCGCCCCAGCTTGCGGCACACGGCATGGGAGTGAAGTCACCCCAGGCGGCTTGATGTCAGCCCAACAACAGTTAAACTTCAGCCATTCCGCAAGCGCACACGCATTTTGGGAGTGTACCCGGCTTGCACCCTAAATGCCGCGTGCCCTGCGCACGGTGGGTTGAGAAGCCTCATTAATGGCCAGAATATCATGAGTAGATGCTAAAACCCCCTAGACGCTCGATTTCACAAGCATCCGCTCAAGACGCACAGCAAAATCACAGCACTTCAACACGAGCCATTCCCCAACTAAACGCTCGATTTCACAAGCACTGGCGCAAGACACACATCATTGGCATCACAGCGCACGACAACCAGCGCTTCCCCAGTTCCCCATGTAAACGTTCGATTTCACAAGCACGTGGGTGTGTTCAGCGCCGATCAGGCTGATGGAGACCCCCTGTGCATAGCAAGCTTATGTAACAACGAGACGGGTTATCCGGCCTGGGCATGCCAGGCCGGGCCCCGATTGCTTAACCCCATGTAGACACTCAATTCCACAAGCACCCGCCTGCTCCAGACACACATCAATGGCATCAGCAATGATCTTGGTTTTCGGGCAGAAACCTCTGGGACAGGACTTATGCCTGCGCGACGCTCGCGCGAGCTTACGCGAGCACCGCGCGACTTCCAACCCTACCCCTACCAAGTGGCTGCCAAAACCTGATGTCCGGCGCATCACAACATATCAAAACCAGCAATTCCCCATTGTAGACGCTCATCCACAAGCATCCGTTCGAGACACACATCCGTGGGCATCACGATGCATCACGACACATCAAAACCAATCATTCCACATGTAGACGCTCAATTCCACAACCACAAGCAGTGGAATCAAAAAAGCGCCCATTCCCCATGCACACGCTCGTTTCCACAGCACCCCCTCGAGATGAACGTCAATGGCATCACAACACAGCACATCAACACGAGCTATTCCCCATGTAGACGCTCGATTCCACAAGCACCCGCTCGAGACTTAAGGCCCGCACCCTGTAGCGTTGGAATCGCAAACAGCAAGTGCACACTGGCTGAAACATCTGGTCAGTTGACGTGTTTCAGCAGAATCCAACGGCACATTGGAAACGCAAGTCGATGCGATTTAACCAATGGACCCAGTAACAGCAGAAGAGTAATTCATGCATGAAAGATCCCGCAACCGTGTGGGCACTAGGCCCTGGGGCCACAAGCTCAAGCGAACTCAAGTACGAAAATGCATACCAATCCACACCTGCACCTGCCAAATCTAATGGATTTGCGTAAGTGCTTTGACAGCGGCTTTAGCCTTGATGTACAAAGTCTCAGGGCCATTTTGAGAGCGGTTCCTCATGTCGACGCCCAATGTCACCAGCACTCATAAGCATCAAAACCAGCCAACCCCCATGTAGACACTCGATTTCAAAAACAGGCGCTCAAGGAACACCTCAGACCTCAGTGGCATCGCAGCAAACAGCACATCAAAACCAGCCACTGGCCATGCAGACGCGCGATTTTGCAAGCAGCCGCTGAAGAAACACATCAGTGGCATCACAGCGAACAGCAAATCAAATGCAGCCATTCCCCGTGCAGACGCTCGATTTTGCAAGCAGCCGCTCAAGAAGCACATCAGTCGAATCACAGCAAACAGCAAATCAAAACCAACCGTTCCCCATGTAGACGCTCGATTTCCCAAGCACCGACTCCAGACACAAGTGGCATTACAACTTACATCCAAGCTCAAGGAAAGACCGCCACAACACTGGATCGCGCAGAAAGTAAACTGGACGGGACACAAGATATGATAGAAGTATGGAAAACTAACCCAAACCCTGCGGCACGTGGAGTTGGGACGACTTCGCCCCGGCAGGGACAACTTAAACCTACCGCTAGTACCGTTGGAATCGCAAACAGCAGCTGCACACTGGCTGAAGCATCTAGTTTAAATGCTTAAATGCATGTCCGAGGATCCCGATTGACACGCTTTACCAGAATCCCCAAGTGCACACTGGACCTGGGACGATTTAGGGCCTGGACCCTGCAGCAAACAAACACCGCAAATCATCATCTTGGAAGCCTTTCCCCATGTGCACACCGAAACGCAACGACCTCACAACAAAGCTTCCCCCGAAGGTCTGGCGCTGCCACGAACAAAACGCAACGACTGGGAGTAGTGCTGGTGGTGGCGGGGGTGAAGGGGGGGTGGCGGCGGCGGAGCCGGGGTCTCGGAGCAAAGCGATTTCTTTCCCTCCCACCCCGCACAAGCTTAAGCTTCAAGTGCATGGACCTGTGGAAAGCGTGTTTGTTTACAAGTGCTGAACAAGAAGGGCTGGCTGGGATTTCAGAGTTGATGGTTGATGTTGGAGTTGGAGATACAAACACACACGGACACATATCAAATCAAAAGACCAGCTGACACAGAATCTCAGAAGACACACAATCCCAAGTGTAACAACCGAATCGTGCATCAAACAATGCCCAGCCAACGTTGAGAACAGCAACCCCACTCAAACATCTTGGAACCGTGCAAAACCCTCTGAAAACAGCCTCATGCACAAACATGGGCCCCACAACTTCCGCTTCTTTACACATGCATATGTATATCGATGTGTCTCTACCCATAGCTGTATGCACATACCGATGTGTTTGAGACCCGGATGGTGAGGTGCACCTTTCCTGTTTGGCGTGCATGTGTGTGAAAATTGCATTTCCAGAATCTCAGAAGCCAGCAGCTCTAATGCAGATACGAGCTCGGTGCTTGTATTGTCTCCTTTCCAAAACAGAAGCCCCGCGCAGCGGATATTTTTCGAGTCGAATTGCAACACTACCTGAGATCTGCTCACTATTTTGTGGTTCCTCATTCTAATTGTAATTACTATAATGGGCCGGTCGATGTGGCGTTGGTAGTGTGTTTCAGGGTTTCAGCGGTGACTGACTCGAAACAGCTTCCAGTGGGATGGCCCCTCAATGGCGATTCTCTTGGGGGGAAGACCACACGGGGTAGTTTTAAGCTCTCCTGCCAGCTCTCCTTCGACTTGCCGTGCATCTGACCCTGGGCTGATAATATGGGCCCATGATACTACAGCTATAATACGCAACCCCCAAAACAGCACAGGTAATTCTGTAGGTCCCTATATTAAGAAGCCTTGATGGTAGTTGCTCTGAGAAGGCACCAGGATATTCACGGTTCCGAAACTGTGTGTTCAATTGCCAAGAAGTCTCACCCATAGAAGTCTTCTAGGATCTCCATATGCTCATTGCCAGATCGATGTATCCACTGCCTTCTTGGCCATGTCAGGCTGGCATCACTAAAACCCAAACCCCAACTCTGATTATAGTCATTATCCCTGATAGTAGTCCATCTCGCAAGCCTTATTCTAACGCTCATAGTAGTTCGTTTACTATCCCTCAGAATTAGCCCTTTTCGTAACCCTTATGGTAACCCTCGAGCCGAGGAGCAATGAACGGGCCCCCGTATGCTTCCCGGAGGCGCTCAGACAGTGGGGTCCCGTCGTAAGCGCTGCAGCCATCCGTGAAGCACCGGAAACCTCAGGTGCGAAGTTCCAAAGCTCCAAAGCCCATGGTAGCATCATTACTACAAGTATGCAGATTTTAGGTTTTAGGGGTAGAGTGAATCGTAGTATTCTTACTATTTCGAGCTCGGGGCTTTGGCGCAGGCTCCCCAAGTCACTGGGGGAGCAGCGTGGTCGCTAATCCCAGCTTCAAGCTGAGATTCTAGGAAGGCTGTCGAAGTCACGATCTCAGAGAAGAGGAGAAAGGGTTTAGGGTTCCTTGGGGGCGTTCTGGCTGCAGAGATGCAACAGGTGAACATTGCAGCTGCCACGGTCTCGAACTCCTCAAACTCCACGCCGGATTCTTGAGGTCCCTCTCCCACGAAGTTGCCTCAGGGTTCAGGGTATAGGGATCGGGAGGGTCATGGAACGTGGCCTTGAAATCTCTGCAGGCGAGAAACGCATTCCAATCCCGATGCTATAAACAAGCACCACCAGCAGGACGATGGCCCAGCAAATCACGCGCAATCCCGAGAAGACACCGAGTACGATCCTCAGAGCACACTGGACCTCCTCAATAAACAGCACAAGAAAGGCTTGGCTTAGGGTATCTTTCAAGGGCTCAGGATTTGAGGTTTCGGAATGGCTTTCTTGGCTGCCAAGTGTCACTATATTGTAATGTATTATGATGTGTCGTCGTGGTAGGAACAGTAGCAGTGAAGCTATCGAACTGAGCACCTGAATCCCGCGACGAAGACCTGAACCCAGAACTCCACAACACCTACAACCTTCGTCTTGAACTACGAAAAAGGTGGTCTGTCGCGATCCCCAGACACCAAAAAAAACACGCTCCACCGACAGCACTGAACCCTAGACTACCCTACACCTAAACCCATAACCCCTAAACCTTACACCCTAAATCCTTAAACCCCCCCAAACCTCACACCCCTTTTAAACCGCCAAAACCCCTAAACCCGACACCCTAAAGACATGGCTCAGCTTGAGCTCATGGAAGACCTGGAAGCGCAGCGCGCGGATCAGCCGGGCCAGGCGCGCCAGGCGGAAGATCTTCATCAAATTCAAGGAGGAGATGGCCTGATATCCAGGATTTAGGATTTAGGAAGTCATGAATGAATATGGATGTTTTGTGGCTTTCCGGTACAGACCTCTCTTGAAGGATCTGGAACTTACAAAGTTATAAGCGGAGGTCTCAGTGGAATAGGGTATTTACAAGCCTACTTACAAGTTACGTAACTAACACGACCTCGGATTCTCCAAGGTCGAGCTTCGGGGCTGTAAGCGATTGATGAGGGTCTGGGGCTGCAGGGCTTTAGAGTCAGAGTCTCGTGCTTAGGACTTTTTCAAGACCCTAAACCCTTAACCCCTAAATCCCAACCCTAAACCGTTAAGGCAGCGTTGAGGAACTCTTATGGAGTTCGACTTTCTGGGCTAGTTCTTGAGGCCGTACAGATTAGGGCTTTGCTGGTTTAGATTGCATTTTGGTATTCGGGTTGTAAAAGGAGGGACCCTTAATAAGGACCCCTAGGTGTATACCCTTAATAGAGCTATTATATACCCATCATATAGCCCATTATAGGGTAGGGTTGAGTTGAATGCTGCATGAACTACGGTACTTTCAGCGCCTCGGCATCGGAGCTATCACGGCCCTGTAGCAGCAGCATCGTAGCGACTGCTACATCCACCTCAATCAGGCCAGAAAGTAGGCAGCTGGAGATCTCGTGACGAGGCTTTAGAGGAGTGTCTGTTGGCTGTCTTTTCGTGGCTTGGGGCCACAAGGTTCAGGAACGTGCTTCAAAAGGCATGAGGTCAGCCTGAGTCTACGACAGTGCATCCTGCAACTGGGCGCCCGGCATACATGACAAGCAAGCAAGCAATGTCGAAGAGATTCCATGCACGCTCTGGGCCACACCAGTACCAGCGCCATCCATATATCCATACCTAAACACGTGGGGAGAAAATGTGCGTGGTCCGAGACGGTGAGTTCATGCCAGTGAAGCTATACTCTCATGCCTAAATATATCAGGGCCTGCATGACTAGTGACTGGTGATATGATCCCCTACTTGTACCCATTACACAGCAACACTAGGTGTCCCAAAAGCCCCTATTCTTAGCATTCATCACTGCCCCCAAAACTACAATGAAACCGCTACAGTTCCTTTAAGCCTTTCAAAACCTTATTCTGGTTACGAGGCCGCTGCGTTAAAGCTTGCGAGCAGCCTTGGCGAGAAATTCGAAGGTGTAGAAAGCCACCTCAGGGGGGTGAGGGCCTAAGAGTTTACGGTTTGGGGTTTATAGGGTTTGGGGTTTGTAGGGTTTGGGGTTTGCAGGGTTTTGGGTTTAGGTTTTCGGGGCTTTAGGGTCTCGGGGAAAGGTTTTGAGTGTAGCTCAGGATTGGTTGGGGTTCTCCTGCGGGCGTTTATGGATTAGGGCAAGAGCAACCTTGGTGTACGAACACTCCCGCCCGCAAGGCGTCTTCCTCAAAGATCTAGGGCTCAGGTTTTGGCACGAACCCAGAAAATCTCAAACTTCCCATACACCCTAAACTGCAGACATAACGTCCTTCTCCGCCCGAGAATTCTACGCCCTGACCATTCCAAAAGACGCCGATGTCGCTGAAACTCATCAGCTTCAGGACTTGCAGCAGAGGGGCGAAGACATATTCCAGCACCTGCCAGCCAATGTGACCACCTCAGATTCGGTGTTCAAGACTCCGCTACTAGCTAAGATCTTCTGCCCTAAACCCTAAACCCTAAATGCGCCATGTCACGATAGAGATCGAGGCTGATGCCAATGACGAGAGCATTGGCCACGATGACGATCGCAGGGACGATGTTCAACCAGGCAGCCCTCCGGTCAAACCTCGACTTGAAATCGAAGGTCTCTTTTTGGGGGTAGGGGCCTCCCTCAACTGTGCAAAACCGCTTAAGACCGTGTACATCAAACTAGGCCTTGCAAAAGCCTCGGAAAACCTTCTAGCAAAACCCTGTATAACCCTATGAGGCGGCCCGGGACTTCTCGAGCTCGGCTTCGGTTTTCCCACCGGTACAGGAGCTCGGCATTTGCATCTCTCGTCGTTTCCGGAGGGCTTCGGCTTCCTCGCGACCTGAAGCAAGGCTTGGGGCTTTAGGTGCTTCACGAGCCGGTTGGGGCTGTAAGGGATTAGGGTCGATGGTTTCTTTGGGGTTTTGGGGCTCTGGGCTGAGGGAGTTTAGGGGCTTGTGTAGGGTGTCGCAGATCTTGGGCTTTTAGTTGCTGTTCCTTTTCCACGTGCTGTCGGCAGACAAAAGCCTGCAGTTTTGAGTTTAAGCTTTTTGGGCGTGTAAAGGGTTTAGAAGCACATGGGTGGTTGTCAGAATTATGGTCCGTTTTTGGGTACCCTAAACATTAGGTGCCGTATTATAATAGGGACCCAAAAAGGGACCCTAATTTTGACAACCACCCACATGGTGCGCCTCAGCACCTTGGGGGCGACCCAACACGAGAGAGACCTTCTGCCTGCCCAGGCACATTGCACCACGTCCAAAACATTCTCTGACATCTCCAAGGCATCCGTAGTGCCCGTATCGATCTCTGCTATCACCATTTCCTCGTCTGGCGCAAGCGCTTGCAAAGCACGATACTTCACAATGCAGGAGCCGTAATTTTTGGAATGGTTTTTTCTGTTGACTTCTGA